AAAAAAAAAAAAGCTGCACTTGCAGTACAAATTTTTAACCTCTGTCTTTAGAAAATAGATTCACCTGTTCTTGAGTCTAAAATCCAGGATGACTTAGTTACTGATGTGACATCAGTAGGCAGATAAAACAAGGATAACATTATTTATAATATTACCGTAGTTTAATTTTGTTTTTGAAAGTTGTATTTGTGGTAAGAATGGCAGCGTTATTAAGCAACAATAGTTTAATTATCTAAAAAAAATTATGTTATTTTTTTTTCTTTTCATTTTTGTATTTTTTCAGGCATGTTTAGAGGCTAACCTCTCAATTTATTTTATTTTTAAAACAGGACATCAGCATGGCTTCACAAATCCCCTGAAAATGTTGGTATTAAAGCCCACAAGTAGACATCCTGTGTTCTTTGCATTGATGACATTGATTTTGACAGGCTCGTGCACACACGTATATACTTTCCCATGCCTGTAAGCAGACTGTCAGGTGTAATTCGTCTGTATGACAGAAGTTTGAAGTCCTGTGCCAAGACGCCTGAACTACAGCAGACCAAAAGAAAAAGATTAATATTATCGCTGCTTTCACAATGATAATATTGCATCTTGTATTTGAAATAAACTCAGTGCTTGCTGATTGAATGAGTGCTGTAGTGTAAGGTAGAACAATAAAGCCCCTTTTCCACAGCTCCTCTTCAGCACGGTTCGACTCGGCTTTGTACGGTTCCAAGGCTTTTTCCACTAGCAATTTTTCAAGAAACCGGCCCCTTTTTCAGGACCCATTTCTCTAGGGTACCAAGCGAGCCAAGCTGGCACCAAAACGTGATGTCAGAACACTGTCACTGATTGGTCAGGGGGCGGAGTCACTGGATCTTTGAGAAAATTTCACAACATCCCGATTCTACGTCATCCGATCAGTGAAGATTAAAAATAAATGAACTGTGCCGGCTTTATCATAAAATCCTGTTTTCACTTTAATGACTTTATTAAATAATCTGTTAAAGTTAACTCGGCTGAAAAATCATACAAAGACAAAATTATTGGATCTCTCAGGAATATTTCCCTCAAACATGTTTAAAGAAGAGATACAGCTTTCAGTTCAACTTATAATATAACCCACAGATGTACAGATCACAAAACAAGAATTAAACTTTAAAACAAAGCTAAAATAAAATAATCTGTATACAAGAAACAAAAACACATATCTAAATTGAACAATAAAAGTAGACACAATGAGTGCAAATATACCAAATGATGAAGAAAAGGTATAACATTTTAAATGTAGATGTTTCTGTAATGGTGAACTAAAGTTCATTAAAAGTTTATTAGCATGATTTATATATATATATTGTTTAATTTGATCATTTTGATAATTTGCATTCTTTTTAATTTACCAGAAACTTCAAAATAAATTCTCTCCCTGTACTGAAACCTGTTTCAGGATCTCACCCCCACCAGCTGGTGAGGCGCGTGACGTCAGTTTGAACCCCACCCACTAGAACCGTTACTGAAAGTATAATGGCAACACAACGTCTGTCGTACCGAGCCGAGTCGAACCGTGCTGTACCGGTACTAAATGTGCTAATGGAAAAGGAGCATTTGTTGGTACCCCGCTCCAAAAGCAAACAGAAAAATGTCGACTTTCGTGAAACATACTTTATTTCAAGTAAATATGAGACATCAAACTCGTGCTTACATGGATATAAGGTAAAATTAATTGTCGTCCCACATTTGTTTACACCTGAAAACTGTTTAAAACATACAGAAAGTAAAGATATTTATGATTAAAGCACAAACACTTGACTCACAGGGGACTAAAGTTAAATGGAGATGCACATCTCTTATGTTACATCCCACAAAGATACGGATGAGATGAAAAAGTAGCAGAAATGCACACAAAGTCCATTCAAGCTTAAAACAAAGTCCTGAACTCACCAAGAAGACGATGTTGGTGTTCTGGTAAAGAGCTCTTGCCACACAGATTCTCTGCCTCTGACCTCCGCTCAGATTGATGCCCTGAAACAAAAACACAGCAGGAAACATCAGCTCAGCATCAGAACATGAAGAACATTAACTTACCGAGTAAAAAGATAACAGTAGGCGGTGGTATGTTTTCATACCCTCTCCCCGATCTCAGTTTGATCTCCGTACGGCAGCAGGTCGATGTCCGGTTGAAGAGAGCACGCATCAATCACCGCTTTGTACCTGAACAACAACACAACACCGCCTGATGGAGTTAATGTCAAGAACTGCTTAAAATGAGTAAATAAATAAAATAGCTGAAACAACATGAAGGACAGGTTACAAAATAAAATGGTAGAGAACTTCTGCTTTGAGCACGTGATAGGAATGTGTGCGTGGAAAAAAGATTTGTATTATGTATTGTTGAATTTTGACTGGACGTTTCTTCCTCTCAGCTAATTGGTCAATGTCCTGTCAATCACAGATTTAACCCAATCAGAGAACAGACGGGTTGGGCTGTCAGGGTGGCGCTACACTGAGTGGCAGGTTCTGGAAGAGTGGTGCATATAGAAGATGGAGGACGGCGCCTGCACTAGAGTTGCATTCAGGCCTAAAATATCCGGCCCGGCCCAAACCCATATACGTTTTTCTGAACCTGGCCCAAAACCGACCAAATAACTGCAATTAAGAGGCCCCAACCTGAAAACAAAACAAAACAAACAAACAAAACAAAATTTTTTTAAAAATACTGGTAAGCATTTACTGCTTTTGTAAGCAAATCAGTTTGACATGGTTTAAAAACGTATTTCAAAGAAAGGAAGATTTATGATTTATTGTTTATTAACAAGAGTCAGTGGATTATTATAGTCATTATAATATTATAGTTATTATAGTTCTTAACGGTCAGCAAACACACACAGCTGATGATCTGGTTGTCCATTTGTAACAACCCGGCCCCAAATAAGGTAAAAGGGGGATTAATTACATAAAACGCTAATGAAGTCATGGGCAGTGCCTGGAGCTGATATGCTAATATTTTATATTTGTTGAGGTGTAGGAATAACCAAGTAAACAAAAAATAATTTACACTCACAGGCAAAGAGCTCTCATAAATAAACTAATAATAGATTGGCTATTTAAGGCAGTTAACACAATTTAATCAAACCATCAAACTCCACAAATGATTCCATATCAACACATGAAATCCCATAAACCCCATTAATAAAAAACAAGCTGATCAAACTTTCAGTCCAACTATTCTTTTTGAAGGAAAGTTCGTTTTCAAGGAGGATGAGGGAAACGCCCACTCAATCTAGGCGTCGGCACGCTGAAATAAAAATAAATTATCTCACCTGATCTCAATGTGCACTTTAGCGTGCCTCCCCTGCAGTCCTGGGTAAAAAATAATCCACTGGAATGTGTGCCCATACTTTTAATTTACAATTTCATGGGCAGCAAATATTTCCTTTGAGTCTTGACATTTGTGCACACATATATCTTCATCTTTTTTAAATCTTTTAATATCATAAACTGTAGACAAGTTTTATGTTCAAGAACATTATTCTGAAACTGTTCATCTATTTTTAAAAGCAGTTTTTCAGAAAATGGTCCTCTGACCATCTTTACTATTTAGAGATTCAGCCTCCCTAAAATGTTCTTTTTAGTCCTTTTACTGACCTGATAGTTATTAATTTAATAAAATAATAACCCTCTCTGTTTCTTACTCTCTGTTATTTACTTTCATAGCATTTTGTTGCTCGTGCTAACGCTGTGCCGTGTCGCTCCCATTAAATTTAAAATCACTTTCCTTTTCTAAAATATGTACTATTTATTTCAACTTGTTTACCATGTTCCATTGTGAAATATGAATTTATGAGCTGAGCAACTTTATTTTTTTGGCATTCTGTTTAAGAAACTTGGGAATTGAGCAAGCACATAGCCTGACACTTTCTCAGTAGTGGATTGGCTCTAGGCTCCCGGTATGCAAGAATCACACGCCCCCGTGTGAGAATATACACGTCTTCAGCCGCACCTTCCTCAGACTAGAGAACTTGTGACCTAGTAGACATGTATCTTGTCTAGGCTTTTGATTCCACTTTATTTTTTGAAAATCCGCAACACGTTAAAAATTCCTGATATACACTTGTCAGCTTTTTTGGAGTGTCTTGTTCCATATTCACCCAAACCATTAAGAAAATTTTGAGCATCAGTTATTTGCTTTTGTTAGACGCTAATAAGACATTTTTCATTTATGTACAAAGAAAGTTATCTCTGTGGGACTTGGTCCATTTTTCTCACGTTACATTATCTGCTAAATATGATCACAGCCATAGGCATCACTCACAACATTTATATGTGAAGTGGACGTGTTCCCCTCACATAAAAAAAAAAATACTAGTTTGGAAACCTCCTCACATTTACCATGAAATATTCGTTCAACCAGCGCTGTTTCTATTTCTTCGTTGACAAATCCATTCCACTTAAATTAATAGGAGAATACTCAATCCACTAAAAGTCCACTCCAGGTTTTCCTGGTTACCAAGAACAACTCACCACACCGCATGCGGTGTTTCTCCTCGGTTACTTGGCTTGGCAGGGCGCTCATCTCTTCAGAGGTTTTTGTCAGAGGGGCAGAGGGAGGGGGGGGAGACACCTCGGTGTTGTGAGCTAGCTTAGCATTATGTTAATGCCGGCTGTGGTTGCCCGATCTGTTAAGGAAGCCGATTCGTAGTGTAGCTCATTTGCACATGCATTGAATATGCTAGATTAACGAAAATGTATTGAAAACAATTACTTGATATTAATAAAATATATTTATGAAACATACCATATTTATTATTAATTAAAATATCTCTTTCTTTAAATTAATTAATTTTCCTAGACAATGTTATAATTCTGTTTATGAATGAGAACTGTCAATTTACTTAGAAAAATAAGTGCTCTATCTCTGCTGATCATGTTGCTAATTTACAATACTCGGATTTCCGTTAAAATCATCGACATATTTACATCATGGTTAAAATTATATGCAGCTTCACCAGTGAGCGGCGCTGTTTCACCATGGAAATAATTAATTCTGTATCTAGCAGGGTTTTCTTATTCAGCCCAGGCTGGGGGTCAGGTCTAATGTGTCACATATCTTAACCAAAGACGTAAATATGTCAATGCAAGTGGCGTATATTAGCAACATGAAGATCAGCGGAGATAGAGCTCGTACTTTTCTAAGTAAATTAAGACAGTTCTTATTCAAAAACAACGGCGATCCATGCGACCCGGAAGTATTCTTTTTAGCACATGCGCAAATGAGCTGACAATACGGATTGTGCTTCCGTAATAGATGGGGGAATGACACAGACAGTTGTTGATCAGGGTGGGGTGGGGGTGGGGGTGGGGGTTAGAATGCGTGAGAGAAGCAGAGAACGATATCTGTAGCATCTTAGCTAGCACATCTGTATTGCACGCCGCTAGCTTAGTGCTATGTTAGTGCTGGCAGTTGTTGATGAAGGTAGTAGTGGGGTGGGGTGAGGGGTTAGAATGTGCTAGAGAAGTGGTGCATGCTCTATTTACACAAGGGGAGCTGTTGGTCAGGCTACTTCTTGTTGTGCTATGCTCTCTAAGATTGTTAGCGAATCAAGTGTTTATGTATGTAGGTAAACGTAGATGTTTAAAAAACCATTAAAAATACACCAGAATGCAGGAAAATGCATCTATTTTATACAAAATTTTCTTGGGGAGGACCCCCAGACCCCCCCACCAGTCTGCCCCCCCATATTACAAATACTTCTGATGCCAATGATTATAGCAAATGTGTGGTGACAACTTTCACAGTCAGAAAAATACTCTTTATATCTGCTGCTGTGTGTTGGTAGATGTTTACCTCTGTTTGTTGAAAGGGCTGCCAAAGGTGATGTTTTCCTCCACTGTAGCGTTGAGCAGCCAGGACTTCTGGGCAGCGTAGGCCACAGAGTTTCTGTTCTTACTGGGTGCATTGTGGGGAAACAGAGGCAACAACAGACATGGGGTCAGAACTACAAGATCCATCGTTGTAAAGCTTCATAAA